TTTGGCTGGCGATCTCGTGGCATCGAAAGGATACCGAGATCGTGCCAGGATACAAGCTTGGTTACAGAAGGTAACCGAATTCGCGCGAAGTTACAATTGAAGTGTAAGTATAAGAATGGAAGCACAAAATAGCTGTCATTAGCACAGTCAAACAAAAGCACATTAAAATAAACACTGGTACAGTTGGTTATAATAATAATTGTTTTTATTAAACCAGTCGTGTTCTCGTGATAAACGTGAGTCACTACAATACTATTCAATACGCGACTTTCTCAAACACAGCTTCTTAGGGATTGGAAGGATCCAATTATTAGCTTTAAATTTAAGCATGTAAAGAGAGATCCTATTTAAAAAGGACAGTGGTATTTTTCCTCGCTGAGTAAATTTCATTGTTTTGATCGTTTATTACGTATCAAGACTACTGTTTTTCACTTTAATTGAATTGATTTCAGTTAAAGTATTCGACTAAAGTATCGTTTTTACTGTTTTGTCGTAGGTACTCTTTAGTACCACTTTTTCAACTGTATCTGTTAGTACTTTTGGTCCTAGCAATCTACAGCTCTTCACTTTTTTTGGTCATTGATAATTTTTTTGTTTCTGGGTATCATCGCATATTGAAAAAACCCCTCCTAAATGACCGGACAGTGTAAAAAAAGCAGTTGCCAACGTCCGGGTTGTCGTTATCCTGTTGAAAGCGGCATGCAGTGCGACGAGTGCAAAGGCTGGTACCACGAAGTTTGCACGAACTTAACGCCTGCTGCTTTCAAACGGTTCAGTAAGAAGGGTTGTGTGTGGCTTTGTCAACAGTGCTGCTCGGATGCAAACAGCTTGTTAACCGAGGCTATCTCACTGGTTGATGCTGCCAAGAAGTGTTTCAACAAGCATAGTCGGAACGCGTCAAACAGCACTCGATCTGTTGACACGCAAATCAATGTGAAGGAAACTAAGGTGAGTCCGGTGATAGATGACTCACGCCCGTCGAAGAAGGAAAAGCAGTCTCCAAAGGGGTCTGCCTTAAAAAAAAGCTCAAGAAAAGTAGGGTCTTCTGTTCCCCGTCTCCCAGATGGGATCCAACAGGAAACACCTAGGAGCCGCAATCGCAAGGCTCGATCGGTTTCAAATGGTAAACATAACACGACCCCTCAGGTCGTCGACAACCCCCCAAAACCCAACACTAGTTTTGACGCAACTGCTATTGCTTCTACCAGCAGCGTTAACGAATGGGTAAAGGTTGTAAGGAAGAAAAGTATTGATATAAAAGGGAAACCTGCCCCCGTAAAAGTGGTTGAAAAATCGAAAGCTGATCATAGCGACAGATCAGCTATTTTTCACAGAATTAAGGAGAGCGATAGCTCTGAACCTAAAGCTCGTTTTGAGCATGACATTGTACTGATTAGGCAGCTGCTTAATCAACTCATGCCTCAAAATATGACTGGGGTCACCTTGCTAAAGGTGTATAGACTAGGGAGTCTAACGGACTCAAAACCAAATCATTCCAGACTGCTTAAAGTAGTATTCGGCTCTTCAAACGAACGTGACCTAATTTTACAAAATGGACACAAATTAAAGGGTTCGGGAGTCTTTATCCGAAAGGACCTACCGTTGGCAGACCGTGTTAAAAGACGGGAAGCCGAGAAAGAACTACAACATAGGTTAGACGCTGGCGAAAAGGACCTGAAAATTGTAAATTTTCGGGTTGTAAGACTTCGACAGAGAATGATGCCGAAGCCACTCTGGGTGAAGCACGAAGGCACCTAAACAGGCTTCGGATCTGTTACACCAATGCACGAAGCTTACTTAATAAGCGATCGGAACTAGGTGTACAGATTGACTCTATAAAGCCAGATATAATCGCAGTAACAGAAAGCTGGCTGACACAGGCTATAGATAGTATAGAACTTGATTTCGAGGGCTTTACGTTAGTAAGGGCCGACAGAACACAAAAGCGCAAAGGAGGGGGAGTAGCTCTATTCATTAGGAATGCTATCCCATTTACCATTATCGATAGTGTATCCCATGAGAGTGGGACGTGTGAATTAGTTAGTCTTCGCTTAAAATGCAAGGGACAAGAGCTGCTGATTGGTTTGGTCTATCGCAGTCCAAGCTGTGAGGCAAATGAGATCCTGTTAAGCAGTCTCAATACTTGGTCCCAAAGTGGTCGATGTCTAATCCTAGGGGACTTTAATGCACCAATGGCAGACTGGGAAAATCTGCGAACTGAATCGTCAGAAAATTCCTTCGAGCAGGAACTAGTTGATGCGGTTATCACATGTGCCCTAGTGCAACATGTGAAAGAAGCGACTAGGTACGACCCGGACACTGAATCATCCTTATTAGATCTTATACTGACTCACTATGAGGATGATGTTGCGAACCTCCACCATATGCCACCCTTAGGTAAAAGTGACCACGCAGTCTTAACTTTCGACTTCCATATAACTGCCAGTCATGAGGACGCGTCAGTCCAATCCAGACCCAACGTCTGGAAAGCAAACATACCAGACAACATGCACTCAGCATCGTTAATAGATTGGACAATAGACCCAGAGTCCTCCATTGAAACGGCCTGGGACACATTTCGAAAATCATACTTAAAAGTTACCACACCTCACATCCCTTGGACTATACCAAAGGGGCCGAAAAACTCACCACCATGGTTCAGTAGGGAGGTCCGTATCCTTCTCCGTAAGAAAAGGAAAACGTGGGATAGATTTAGGTTACTGGGGACTGATGAGTCAAAATCTCAGTATCGAAAGGCTCGGAACACTTGTGCCTCGACCCTCCGTAAGTCTAGAAAATTGTACGAAGAAAAACTTGTTAAGGAATCCATAGAATGTCCTAAACGCTTGTATTCCTATATAAACCAAAGGACAAGGAGAAAAGGAAATATTCCTGCTCTATGGGGAGACAGTACTGCTTCATCATTAGTGGAGGACGACTTTGGTAAGGCTCAAGCGTTCTCGAACTACTTTAGCAACGTGTATACCATAGAAGCGCCCTTCTCGTCAGCGTATACAGATCCCCCCATACATACACTGGATAGCGTGACCATTAAAGAACTCGATGTCTTTGATCTGCTAAATAAGCTTGACACAGGTAAATCCATGGGGCCCGATGAATTACATCCTAGGCTACTGAAGGAATTATCTAACTTCGTTGCGAACCCTTTAAGTACATGCTTTAACCTATCCGTTACGCAGGGTCGCTTACCGAAAGATTGGAAAAACGCCATAGTAAGTCCTGTCTTCAAAACAGGCACGAAACACAAACCTGAGAACTACCGCCTCGTTAGCCTAACTAGTGTGGTTGTTAAAATATTAGAAAAGATTATTCGGAAGGAGCTGTTTAAGTATCTCGATAAAAACCGGATCCTCTCGGAGAAGCAGCATGGCTTCAGAATAGGTTATTCTTGTCTCACTAACTTATTAGTGGCTCGTGAAAGCTGGTGTGCTCTTAAGGACCAAAAGCTACCTGTAGATGTCACCTTCATTGATTTCAGTAAAGCCTTTGATAAAGTTCCGCACAACCGGCTGTTATATAAGTTAAGACATGTCGGGATTGGAGGTAATTTATTGATGTGGATAAAAGACTTCTTAGTTGGGCGTCAACAAAGAGTAAGGGTAAACTCAAAGTTATCTAGCTGGGAAACTGTGCTTAGTGGAGTGCCCCAGGGTACAGTTTTGGGGCCAGTGCTATTCCTCTTGTATGTAAATGACCTTCCTTGTCTCCTATCATCATCGGTCTTGCTATATGCTGACGATGTCAAGATATGGAGAACGATACGATGTAAGAGTGATAGCTTAGAACTTCAAAATGACCTGAAGAAGTTATCTGAATGGTCTCAAACATGGCAGTTGCCGATAAATACTTCCAAGTGTGTTGTGATGCATATCGGTCATCAAGGCACAGATACATACACGATGAATAACACTGAGCTACCTGTCGTCCAGACATATAATGACTTAGGAGTTATCGTTAGTCAAGACTTAAAGACTACTGCACACTGCCGTGCAATAGCCGCCAAAAGTTTTAGAACGTTATGGTCAATACGTAGGGCTTTTAGTCATGTCGACAATAAGACGTTTTTGACTTTGTATACAGTGTTCGTTCGTCCTAAACTTGAGTACTGCATACAAGCGGCTAGCCCCTGCTTTAAAAAAGACAGAGAGCTCCTGGAAAAGGTTCAGAGAATGGCGACTAAGCTGGTTCCCGCAATAGCGAAGCTTCCGTATGAATCTCGACTGGCCAAGCTGAACCTTTTCCCGTTGTCATATCGCAGAACTAGAGGCGACTTGATTACAGTCTACAAATTGCTTAGTGATAAATTTGCACCTAACATGCCCTCATTTTTCTTGTCTTCCAAAACAGAGAATTTACGAGGACACTCCAAAAAAGTTCATAAGCCGAGAACAAATTACTTGTCAGCTGACTATCGACTTTCCCATCGAATCATCAACGAGTGGAATTCACTACCTCAGCACGTGGTTGAGGCTCCATCCGTCGACTCTTTCAAAAGAAAGTTGGATCAACTGAGAGACCACCATTGCCAGGACTAACATAGGCCATCGAGCCTCCTGTCCTTCTCAAACTGAAACTGAAACTGAAACTGATAACTACCTATTGGTCTTACTAGCATACTGGTTCGAATATTTGACAAAAATAGTTTGGACTATGTTACCTTGCTTTATGGAATCGTAAAATCCGTTAACTCCTGGGATATCCGAATTACGGAAGTAAATTTTTATGACTTACTAGCTGCGACAAAGGATCGTTATTGAAACTGAAGGTATGACCTTGACTAAGGGGCAGAACTTGGTGACCTTGTCGGGACATTTGTCAACACTATAATTTAATGTAGCTTTAAAAATATCTTGTCTTCTCTGCATATGTATTAGGTGTTTTTTCCTATAAGGTGATGTTTTTGCCTTGTTTGGTTATATTAACCCCATTTTCATTTATTTGATTGCAACTAAATTGTATAGGTCTTCTGCCTGAACCCAATGAATTGTCATAAGTACTTTGGTCATCTATGTTTTCGAAATTCTGGCTTTAAACCCAAATCCTTATTTGGAAGACGTTACCTCACTAAAGGAGCTGTGACACGTTGGTATAATAGACTTTATTTATCCTTATTAACAGGAAACTTGAATACTTCTGACTCCCAAAAAAGTGAAGGGAATATTTCGAAGACAGATATGTCCGAGAGCCCCTCAGATTATGTACATCCCGAAAGCGGTGAGAGAGGAGGACCTCGTGGCCCAGAACCCACGCGATATGGGGATTGGGAACGTAAAGGACGTTGTATCGACTTCTAATTATAATGAACAATATCCGGACTAGTTTTCGCAGTAACTTTGTGTATGATGTTAATTTTAGTCGAATAAATGGTTGTTGAAAACTTTCAACTTTTCTATTTTTCTTATACCGATATCCATTCGTAATATTTTGACGATTTTAGGTTGAATAATGATCAGATGGCTTCAGAACAGAGAACTAACTTCAATTCACAATGTTCTATCTATGGATCTCAGTTGTGTGCTGAAACCTTATCACTTACGACAGATATTGCCTCCGGACACATCAGATGATATATTTCTTGGTTTTTCAGCAGACGGTTGCTTCTTGATTTCATACAAAAATGATTTCAAACACCATGTAATTAGGTTTTGGCTCTTTCCACCACGTTCTACCGGAAGTCTTGGCCCGAAGCTTGCTCTGTATAGTGAGAGAAAATTCTTAAGAACAAGTTACTGCCCAGACCTTCATAACGTTCCGTGTGTTAGGTTTGTACAGTCCCTTGCGGTTTCCAACTCCTTTTTACTTCTTGCATGCAACGTAAGCACTCTCACAGCTGATGTAATCTTTTCAGTATTTAAATTAAGACGGGGATTCACCCATAGTGATTTATGCTCATCTTATCCAGTAATGGCTTTTTATTTTAATGGCTACAGGTCTTCTCACATAGTTATTGGCCTTTACATGGACACTTCTTAGGGCATAGGTTACAGAAAGTTATTACCTAAATTCATGTCCGTTTGGCCTATCTACTTTATGCGACCTGTATTTTGGTTTGTAGTTAGACACCTTGAGTTATTTCAGGGATTGTTTTCCTATTTGGAGGTTTTTTATGATCGTGAGGTATATAAATGATACATCTAATTACCGAAGTTTGTGGTCGAATCTATTCTTCCAAACGTCGTTAATAACAATGACAGTTTATTTGATATGGTTTTATCCCTCTGAAAGTAAACGGTTCTTAGGAGCTGACATGTATTAGTGCCCAATCTGAGTTCAAAAATCTAATTGTTGTGTGTGTATTATCTTACGTTTCTGGGAGGTTTCATACACACTGATTTTATAAGTTAGGAAATCTCAATATGCATTCAAAACCCTAGCTTGACTCTTATGATGTGCCACTGCTAAAGCTGTTCATAATGTCATTTTTTTGTCAGAAAGGAAACATGTGCTTTAATACTCACTGCTAATACAGCCTACAACAACAGATGAAAAGCATGCAGATAATTGAAAGGATTTTGAAGTAAACAACGAATTTTTTTTTAATAGGACGGCTTAAGTCTTGGGAATGTAGTGTGCTTAAAAGGTAATTAAAATGTTGATATTTTTTTGTCAACAACTTTAAAAAATTCGATTTATGTAGCTGGACAAGCTTACTTTTTCGTTTTGGCGACGTCAAATATGTTTCGTATTTAAGTGTTTGATTTCACACAACGCAACAAATAACTGCAGTTTCTCGTTTAATGTTGGTCGCCATAAACTGCCTTATCTCGATAGGTGTTAAAAGTTTTCACTACGTACAAGTTCAGAACAGCGTTGAAAAAAACTCTAACGTGATAAATATTTCTATGCAGCATTTCTTTTTCCCTGTTTTTAATATCTAGAATGACGGCAGTGGGTTTGTTGCTGCATTTGGTCTTATGCCAGATATAGATTGTGATATCTGTTCCGAGGCATCATCTGCTCACGATCGCTTATCTAATAAATCCACTTGCAGTATTCATTCGCACGTGCTACCTCTTAATCTCGATATATCTTTTGCTCAAGAATCCCCCATCCCAATAAGAAGTAACAGAAATTCTTTGAAATTTCAGAAGACTTCATATCGGTGCACTTCTCATTTCGTACCTCCATGTTTAAGTTCATTTGACGAGAATTCTTGTTCCAATAACGCAGATCTTTGTGGCGGCTCTTGTTTCACTTCGACTGGTTTGCCGATTGGAAGGATTCATGTTGGTGTTTCTCCGAATACTGGACATTTACGAATTGCGTGGGCTAATCCAGATGCACAAGTTAAAATCATGTCCTGTTCTTTCAAACCTTCTACAAATTCCGGTGATTTTTCCTTTTGCACATTACCCAAGGTATTATTATTAACCGTATTTTCGCTTTTCCATTAATAGAAACTTTCATGGTTTTTCTAGTGTGAATGAAATCAAGAAAAGTTTGAAGAGTTTGATCCTGCCAGTAGTCATGCTAAATGATGAATCCTGGGATTGCAAAATAACCTCTACATAATGTCTGGTATATCTTTAAGTTTGGATAGTTTTCATTTAGGGTTCGTATTAACTTCAAATTCTGAACAACTTTCCAATACTAGTTTCAAATTTATCAGTAGTAGACATTTACGATCAACATGAAACTTCAGTGCTATGCCATTCAGCCATTGAACCAGATCACAACCTTCCACATATGTGCTATAATATTGATATCATGTAATATTGTCGATTTAAACCTACCTGAGAAGTATCTAGTTATAGTGAAATAACTATTCGATGTGTCCTGGATACCATTTTTATAGGTAGTATTTTGGTGACACATCTTTCACCTGAAACATCAGAACCGGTGTTATAGTTATGTCAACTAATTTTAGTAGTTGTGACAAGTGCTTAAATTAAATTTTGCATAATAGATCGGTTTCACCAAAATTACTTCTCTTATTAAAATCACTTTATTTCTAAATATTCGGATTCTGCGGATTCTCTTTTTAATGTACTCAGGGCACGTCCACATCAATCGGAAATTACCCTGAATCATTGATTTATAAACCTCCTCTTATCACACATAATTATTGTTCAACGTGCTATTCGTGGCCGGATGAGAACGAACTGTGTCAAGGAAAACATAACTCCTCAGTAATATCCAGATTAAATTCTTCGAAATGCATTTTTTCCCAAGATTCACTGAATGTTTATTTGGTTAGTGATGCTTCAGCATGGCCGGATAATCACTCAAATCTACTTGTAAGTTCGGTCGTATGTTTTCTCTAACAAGTTTTAATCATATTTTCATTTAAGGTTTTACTATTAACATAATTTGGAAACTACTCCAGTTTCTACAGTTGTATTTGCTGTGTTGTCATACATTCCTGGTGAGTCATTACTTCAAACTTTGTACGATTATTGCTTAAGCTATTCTGACGACATAGGATCTAAAATTAGTGTATACTAGTTTAGTACAGAGAAAGCTTAAACAATAGTATCATTATTAATATAAACTAGATGTAGATAAAACAGTCAGTTGGTCATCACCGACATGGAGTCCGGTATGGGCTTGGATTAACTCAAGTTTTCATACCACATTAGCAAGATGTGATGGATGTAACATTGTGAAGAGTGAATACGTCTACGCCATTGTGGATGATTCTGAGCCATCTCACATAAAGTCTTATTTCTGATTGTGTTTATCGTATGGGTCAAAACCAAGTGGTTCAGACCATGAGTTAACAAATTCACAAGATCCTTACATCGTTAGCAAGAGATTCTTGGGTCATCGTGACACCTGTTGCCAGATTCGACATAGGGTTCGGACATTTAAAGCCACAATACGTAGTTTGAAGCTTGGTTTCAGGAGACTTGGGATAGCATTGTGTGAACTCGGATAATCAATATTGGTGGTATAAGTAGAAATTGAAGAAATAGGAGAAGGGTTCATGGTGCGAATAAAAAGCACTGTTGGAAAATAAAGAATGATATCATAGGATATAAAATGGAATGCAAGGGTTAAAACTAATGTTCGCATCTTAATTTTTTATTTTAGTTAGCTCAAAATCCATTTGTTTCCCGGTCAGTTTTATTGTCTTTTGATCTCAATTTATTTGACGGATGGTATCAATTACACAGTCTCGTGAACAGTTATCAGATACAGACGAAATATATCATTGTTCATCATTTATGGATCGGAATTCTATTTGTCACTTTACTAACTGATATGTGCTCATGGAAAGATAGAAAAGGGATGAAAAACATTAAATAATAAAGCCTCCAGATTTAGAGGATGATAGCGAATGAATGCATCTACGTCATCGCGACTAGTCTTACAGCAAGAGGATACCATCCATATACTGACCGTGACTTAAAAGCAGCATTTGACTCTGTAGACCGCGAGACTCTGTGGCAGTGTCTGTCATTGAAAGGCGTACCTCAGAAGTACATAAACCTTGTGAAGGCTCTTTACTCGAACACTACTAGTCGAGTCAGGGCTTATGGCGAACTGTCATCTACTTTTGCAACTTCAAGTGGTGTCCGTCAAGGCTGTCCACTTTCTCCATTTTTGTTTAACTTCATCATAGACCTATTGATGGAAATAACACTCTCGTCGACTGAATTCTCGGGTATTGATCTCCTTCCAGGAGGTCCACTTATCGACTTAGAATACGCAGATGACATAGTCCTGTTTGGTGAAGACGCTGACAAAATGCAGAGTCTTCTGGTAGCACTAAGCAACAATGCCAGAATGTTTGGGATGCGCTTCTCTCCCTCTAAATGCAAGTTGTTGCTTCAGGACTGGTCTGCGTCAACACCTGAACTAAGGATAGGAAGTGAAGTAGTCGAACGCGTCGACAACTTCACTTATCTTGGAAGTCTGATCAGCCCTAATGGGTTGATGTCTGACGAAATCTCAGCACGGATTCGAAAAGCTCGTTTGGCTTTTGCCAACTTACGTCACCTTTGTCGGAGGCGAGATATCCGTCTATCAATAAAAGGACGAGTATACTGCTCGGCAGTCCGTTCTGTCTTACTTTACGGCAGCGAAACATGGCCTTTAAGAGTAGAAGACACCCGTAAGCTACAAGTATTTGACTACAGATGCCTTAGAAATATTGCTGGCATCTGCTGGAATCACCGGGTAAGTAATAGTGAGGTTAGACGCAGGGTATTAGGGAATGATGGTAAATCAGTTGATGAGGTTATGAATCTTCATCGACTGAGATGGTTGGGCCACGTATTACGTATGCCTGAACACCGATTACCACGACGTGCAATGCTAACCGGTGTAGGGGATGGTTGGAAGAAAGTTA